CTCAGTATTCATGTGGGTTCCCTAGTAAGGGGAGCAGGGGTTATCTCTGACATGGACTCTTGTTATCGGCTCTTTGATCACTTTCCTCTAGCGGGGTGGCCTTGCCAGGCCACAGAGGAAGAGGATCCAAGTAGTCTTGATGTCAGATGGTAGGGGAGGAGGGCTCCCCTTTTCTGTGGTCTAGGGGAGTAGAGGGAGGAGGATAGGTCCAGGAGGAGATGAGGGAGGAGGCTACAATTTAAAAAAATGAAAAAAAAAAACTAACCAAACAAACTAACACCATTTCTTGTAAGATTCAAGAAGCATTTCTTTAATACCCATTGTGTACTATTTATTATAGATACTAAGGTATGAAAACAACAAAGAAATAAACATAATTCATTAAAAGAAGAAAAATAAAGGAAAGGCATTGAACATGTCCAAAAGCAGAAAAATATTTAACTAGGCCGCTAGGAGAAAGTGTTTCTGGGCAGTTGTATTTGAGCAGAGACCCAACTGAAGCCACAAGGCAAGGTACCTGGGCCTTGAAGATATCTGAGAGAGTGGGCTAGGAGATGAGAGAAAGTGCCATGTTTTTGATTCTCCGAGAACGGAATGGAAGCCTTGTGGTTAGAACACAGTCACCAAGAGTAGTGGTAAAGAAGACCCAGAAATAAACCCACACACTTATGGACACCTGATTTTTGACAAAGATGCCAAAACCATACAATGGAAAAAAGATAGCATCTTCAACAAATGGTGCTGGTCCAACTGGATGTCTACATGTAGAAAAATGAAAATAGATCCAGACTTATCACCTTGCACAAAACTGAAGTCCAAGTGGATCAAAGACCTCAACATAAAACCAGACACATTAAATCGGCTAGAAAAAAAAAGTGGGGAATACCCTAGAACTCATTGGTACAGGAGAAAACTTCCTGAACAGAACACCAACAGCACAGGCTCTATGAGCAACAATCAATAAATGGGACCTCATGAAATTGAAAAGCTTCTGTAAAGCAAAGGACACTGTCATCAAAACAAAGCGACTGCCTACAGATTGGGAAAGAATCTTCACCAACCCTTTATCTGACAGAGGACTCATATCCAGTATATATAAAGAACTAATGAAGCTGAAAAGCAGCAAACCAAGTATTCCACTTAAAAAGTGGGGAACAGAGCTAAACAGAGAACTCTCTGTAGAGGAATATCGAATGGCAGAGAAGCATTTAAAGAAATGCTCAACCTCATTAGCAATTAGGGAAATGCAAATCAAAACAACCCTGAGATTTCACCTTACACCCATCAGAATGGCCAAGATGAAAAACTCAAGTGACAACACATGCTGGAGAGGTTGTGGAGAAAGGGGAACCCTCCTCCACTGCTGGTGGGAATGTAAACTTGTACAACCACTCTGGAAATCAATCTGGCACTTTCTCAGACAACTAGGAATAGTGCTTCCTCAAGATCCAGCCATACCACTCATATCCAAAAGAGGCTCAAGTACACAATAAGGACATTTGCTCAACCATGTTTGTAGCAGCTTTATTTGTAATAGCCAGAAGCTGGAAACAGCCCAGATGCCCCTCAACTGAAGAATGGATACAGAAATTGTGGTACATCTACACAATGGAGTATTACTCAGCAATGAAAAATAAGGAAATCATAAAATTTGCAGGTAAATGGTGAGACCTGGAAAGGATCATCCTGAGTGAGTTGTCCCAGAAGCAAAATGACACACATGGTATATACTCACTCATAAACATACAACATTGGATAAACTCGCTAAAATCTGTACATCTAAACAAACTAAGCAAAAGAGAGGACCCTAACTAAAATGCTCAATGCCATCCTAAAAGGCAAAGAGGATGGACATCAGAAGAAGAAGAAAACAGGAAACAACTTAGGAACCTGCTACAGAGGGCCTCTGAAAGCCAGAAGAAGAAAACAGGAAACAACCTAGGAACCGGCCACAGAGAGCCTCTGAAAGCCTCTGCCCTGCAGACTATCAAAGCAGTGCTGAGCCTGATGGCCAACTGTCAGGCAGAGTGAATGGAATTTTATGTAAGAAGTGGGAAATAGCAAGAGCTGGAGAGGACAGGAACTCCACAAGGAGAGCAACAGAACCAGAAAATTTGAACACAGGGAACTTCCCAGAGACTCATACTCCAACCAAGGACTATTCATGGAGATAACCTAGAACCCCTGCACAGATGTAGCCCATGGCAGTTCAGTGTCCAAGTGGGTTACATAGTAATGGGAAGAGGGACTGCCTCTGACATAATCTGATTGGCCTGCTCTTTGATCACCTCCCCCTGAGGGGGGAGCAGCCTTACCAGGCCACAGAAGATGACAATGCAGCCACTTCTGATGAGAACTGATAGACTAAGATCAGAAAGAAGGAGAGGAGGACCTCCCCTATCAGTGGACTTGGGGAGGGGCATGCATGCAGAAAGGGGAGGGAGGGTGAGATTGGGAGGGGAGGAAGGAGGGGCTTATGGGGGATACAAAATGAATAAAGTGTAATTAATAAAAGTTAAATAAAAAATATAAAAAAAAGAAGAGCAGAGAGGATGTAAGTGGTACAAGGTCTGATAGCCTGGGTGTGATCTTATATTCTGAGTGAGACATACAGGCATGGGGAGGAGTTAGGGAAGGAGCGACCTGAGAGCTGGTGAGGATTTTTAAAGATGTACTAGTGTTTTTAAAGGTGTACTACTAAGCCAGGCATGGTGGTACATGTCTCTCCTGCACTCAGGAGGCAGAGACAGGAAGATCTCTGATTTCAAGGTCAGCCTAGTCTACAGACCAGGTTTCATGGCTGTCCCAATGACCACCAGGGCTACACAGAGAAACCCTGGCTCAAAAGAACAAATACAAAAACAAACCAAAGCAAAACAACGACAACAACAAAAAGACTTACTACTTAATGTTATTGTTTTTCTTTCACTTCAGAGAAAACCGTTACCTGGATAATGTAAATGCAGATTTGTCTGTGGTTTCCGTAGGTCAGGAGATGTGAAGAGGGCCTGCTTCTTTTGGGGAGCTCTGCTCGGAGACTCACAAGTGTAGCAACAAGGAGTCCCATTTGAAACTTGGCTTCTTCTTCCAAGTATCCTCAAGTTGTTGGAAGAATCCACTTCTTAGTGGTAGCAAGACTGTGGTGCCTCGTGTTCTTGCTTTACTTGCTCTGGTTGGGAGCATGGGGGCACCCTCAGCCCCGAGCCTTGGCTCTTAGTTCCTGGGCGTGTGACCTCATAGGATCTGGTGGCCCAATTTTTCAAAGCTAACCAGGGAGGGAGGGATTGGGAGGGGATTGGGAGGGGATTGGGAGGGGGCTACAGCTGGGATACAGAGTGAATAAACTGTAATTAATAAAAAATAAATTAATTAATAAAATAAAAAATTTAAACATTGGAAAAATTTGGATATGCTATGATTCAAGCCAGAGTGATGATGAAAAGCAACACACCAGAGTCAGCTTCAAAGTCACATGCAGTGTTGTCTGAGGCTTAAAATTTTATGGTTTATAAATTGGGGCTATGCAACCCTTCCAAAGTGAGTTTATTGTACTATTATTGTGAAATGTGAGCCGTGAAAAAGACCCTATTGACTCATGCTACAACCCTCTCTCTGCTTCTTTTACACTGACGTTAGTAAAATAAGCAGCATTTCCTTATCCTCATTCCCAAGAGTCTTACCAGTGAACCCAATATATCATCACCGAAATCAGTAAACCTGTTCCTAGAAGCCAAAATATGCATCACCGTACATATTCAAAACACACTGTGCTCAACTACTTTCTAGGAACATAGCCAGCATCAAGAGTTTGTCTTTAGCACCTATTGATTTTCATGGAAGTCTCACAGTGAGGTATTATCTGCTTTCTCCACGACTTCAGAGGCAGTATCGTGGTGTGACTAAAGATCCTTTCTTTCCAGGGATGTTTTGCAAATTAGCTTTGATACACTGTAGCTGGTCCTTCAATGCAGCTTACATCGCTGTTAGCTGCGTCATGTCATTCCTCGAATCACCAGGAAAGGGTGCTGTAGGCTGGGGTTGGGCCAGTGTTTACTTGGGATATCCCAAAATTCTTGTGATATGAATTCACCCAGACTCATTTCAGGAAGAAAAGCTTTCAAAATTGTATCTACCGAAACTATGTTCCCGCTTTCTGTGATAACGGCAGAAAAGCTGAGGAGGAGCATTTGAATGAAACCTTAGGTTAAAAAAAGTGTCCATTCTTAGCGTTCATACAGTGAATGTGGGAAGTGATGTATGTTTCCAGGTGGGAGTAAAGCAAAGGCAGTGTAGGCTACCTTTGGTTCAGAGGGCTGTTCACATTGTGGGAGAGATGACAATTCTCTACGTGGAAATCTTGATAGGGTGTTTTGGTTTAATGTAGTTATATAGTTATGTAGTTAATGTAGTAAGGACTGATTATATGGCCAGGTAGTACAAGGATAGCTTGATGATTATGTTTTCATAAATAAAACTTGAATAGATGGAAACCAAGACAAGTCATTTGTTGATAAGAGTGACCTTGGGTCTGAAAAGGTCTATCTTATCTGAGTTGCTAAAGATGGAAGAATCACCTTCTCCTGCCTGACCTTTCAATCTGGAGGCTGGGCAAGACAGCCTACCTTATGTAGCACCTTGGCTTTCTGAAAATTTGGAAAAGGCAACAACCAAAACAAGCTATCAATCAACCCTGCATTTGGTAGGTGTATGGGTGAGGCAATAGTTTACATAATTGGGATTTTAGGAAATGTTAAGTAAATACATCTTTTGGTGCAACTCCAGTCTATACCATACTCTCCTTGTTATGTGAGAGATGTTGAAGTACTTAGAATCCAGCCTGTAATTGAGGCATAATTATTGAATGACTTACTTTAAAGATAATGCCAACATTTTCTAACATTCTAATCTATTTGTGTGTAATATATTATTTGATAATGCCAAATCTTAGTTTTTACATTGTAATGTAACAAACCAACTCCCTTGTGCTTTCTTTTTTGTAGGTGCACTAAATCAAAAAAACTGGGGAAAGAAATATCCAATATGTAATAGCCCAAAGCAGTCTCCTATTAATATTGATGAAGATCTTACACAAGTCAATGTGAATCTTAAGAAACTGAAATTTCAGGGCTGGGAAAAAGCATCTTTGGAAGACACGTTCATTCACAACACTGGGAAAACAGGTAACATCCTTGTCTTTTGCCTTTGACGGTTTTCTTACTGAGAATGTTTTTACATGAGACACATTTCCTTTGAACAGTATGCTAGGAACAGAACAGAAGCTGATGGTAGACTAAGCCAAATGGAACGGACTCAGCCTTTAGTCAACATTTGGAAAATTTGTACCAAAAGCATAACAAACAGTATCACCATGTTGTGTTTTCTCTTTGTGTGATGAGAGTGGTCTTCCCAGTTGACAATATGAGAAAGATAATGAAATTATAGCCAGTGAAATTGTAACTCAGACACTTGGTCAGGATTTCCATATCTTGGGCATTGGATTTTGGTCTTGGATGTTCAGCTTCATGCTGCAATCAATATTTGAATATGATAAGATAATCACTTATAATTAAAATTTAAAAACAAATCAATAGTCCTTTTATTTGGGAAATTTAAAATTATAGTCCATCCTGAAGGCGGTACTTATATAAGTGGCTTTTATGAGATAATCTTTTTTTTTCAAAACATGCAAAAATGTAACTTCTAAAAATTCAAGAAAACTTTGATGAACCATATATAGATACAATAATTTTCAAATGAGACATTTTTTCATTTTGGCTATTTTGTTTTGAAATTAACATAACACATTGTCAGGGAATGGTATAGACAATGGTATAAACAAATTCTTGCAAATGTACATCTTTGGAAGAATTTTAAAAATCAAAATTATAATAGCAGATCTATTAGCGTGGTTTTCCAGTGAATAAATTTCTATATTTCATATTTAGATAATATAACTAATAAATGTAATAATTACACTGCATATTCTGGGAGAGTAATAATTTTTCTCTATTTGTGCCTGATAAACATTTAATATTTTTTAAATGAGTAGCCAAGAAATGTTAGTGTGTTACACTATAATTCAAATAATAAAAATAAGTTGTTCCAAATCTTGACAATTTAATACAATTTTTGTGAGTGTGTGCTTTTAACACACAATCTCTGCCTTGTTTCTTTTAGGGTCTAATGGTTAAGTACTTGTCCCTCACAGTCACTCTGTTTGGGTTTATCAGTGGTCATTCAAATGACAGTGCAAATCTTGGAGGAGGCCACTTAACTTTCCTGTGACTCAGTTGCCTTATCTGCAATAGAGATTGCAGTGGTTTTTGCTCCCAAAGTTTATGTGAGAATCAAGTAGCTAAGAAGCATAAAGCAATTCATATCATACCGGTACTTCATAAATGATAGATGTTGACTGCCACTGTTTTCATTATTGACACTGGACTTGACATTCTTATCACAATCAATGAAAACTTATAACACTAGCTGGCTAGCCGGGGTGTGCGGTTTAATCACTGATGCCTCCGTCAACTGTGATTTCTGATTAGCAGACGAAGGACTACTTAAATCTGACTGAGACATCATAATCTTGCACTAGGCTCTCAAGAGAATCATTGTCCTTCTACTGTAAAAATACAACCAGTAAAGTCCTCTGGGAACTTGGGGAAGTTTCCGGGTTCTAATGGTGGACGCTGCAGGTTCAAATATGGAATGGCAAAATCCTCTTCTATGATGAGGCTTCCCAACTGTTTGCCTAAGACAATTGTGGAAGCAGCTGATGTCTGGGCAGAATGTAGGGATTAGATAGAACAAAAGGGGGGAGGTGGGCAGAAGCAGGCTATCGGTGAAACAGGAGAGCTCTCCCCAGGAAAGACTTTCTTTCTGGACATCTCTTCTGACTTTATTATGTCCCATCATTATCATCAAGCATCTGAGGCAACAGAGCCTTGGAGGAATAGCAATCTCAGTGAACCAAATAGATTAAGCAGGCTGGCTGCAGAGTCCAACAGTGGTCACTACTTCAGTGTCCTTGATTTGCGGCAGTAAGATGCATTAAGTATGTTAGTATGAGGGCAAAGTAGAAATCCAAATGACCTTAAAACTCTTAAATTTGTCACGTGAGTTTTATCATGTATTTAAGTAGAAGGAGATTCAGTTAAAATTCATAATTTTGGTTTTTCAGAAGCTTAGATATAATATCCTGGTTTGGTTTTGTTTTTGTTTTTTTACTTTAGTGGAAATAAATCTCACTAATGACTACTATCTCAGTGGAGGACTTTCAGAAAAGATATTCAAGGCAAGCAAAATAACTTTTCACTGGGGAAAATGCAATGTGTCTTCTGAAGGATCAGAGCACAGTTTAGAAGGACAGAAGTTCCCGCTTGAGGTAAGGAAGCAGCCTGCCGCTTTCATGCTTATCATCTGCATCTTTGAGATTTACCTCTCGCATAGAATTTGACTTCCTGTGTAATTCAGAATTTGGAACATACATTTGTGTTTCAACGACTTGATCAATACATTTTCCCCTCCAAGACTGTAAACTCAATGAGCCTACAACCCATCTTTACTCTTCTATGTCTAGAAACTCAAATTGCCACTTACTAACTAATCAATAAACACAGATGAGGAATTGAATGAATAAAATAATAAAAGGGATGATGTCATCAATGTAGAGCAAATACTTTCAGTTAACTCCTTTAATTAAAAATAAGAAAAAAATCTGATGTGTAATCCATGATTACATTAAATACAGAACGAAAACTCTAAAAAATGAGAAAAATCGCATCTTTAAAACTAGGAGAGAGTTATAAGTATGATAAATAATGTATATAAATAAACATTTTTGTATGTGTCTCAAAAGTATTAAGCTTTCTGGGAAGTAGTTTGTTTTGTGGTTCAGACTGTAGCACCTGCACCCACCTGCACACACTCCACATAGACACATATATAAGCACATAATTAAAAATAATCATAAATCAAGTCAAAAGAGTTAATGTAGTAGTTAGAGCATTTGTTGCCCTTGCAGAGGACTGAGGTTTAGTCCCCAGCATCCACACACAAGGAGTCTCAGAATCATGTGTAACTCTAGTTCCAGGAGATCTGATGCCTTTTGCTGGCCTTCTCAGTCTCACCAGATATACATGTGTGCATGGTGCAGGGACAGACATGCAGACAAAACACACATACACATAAAAGTAAATAAATCTTTAGAAGTGTTTGTCATCAGTTGGGCAAACAGGACCTCAAAGGAGCTTCCTAGAACCTTTCCTTCCTTCTTAGTTTCCTTCCTTCCTATTTCCTTTCTTCCTTATTTCCTTCCTCCTTCCTTCCTTTCTTCCTTTTCTTCACTCCTTCCTTTCTTTCTTTTTCTCTTTCTTTCTTTGTCTCCCACATCCTATAAATGAGTCTTCTGAATTCTTTTTACAAATTATATGTATAATGAGTTCTACCACCATTATTTTCTCATAGCACACTAAATGTCAATCTATTAGTGTCTCTTTAATCTTCCTTCACTCTGTCTCCACTCCTATCCTTAGTCCATCCTTATGACTGTTTCCTAAGGGTCACTGGTGACTTCCCATGCTCTTTGGTGTGACCACTGCCTGCTTCTCCCTACCCTTTCCTTACAATGATCCTCTGACATCACAGAAAATGACTTTCAGTTTCCATGCTATTACTTTCTTTGTGTGCACCTTTCCAGGGTACTTCTGTAGAACTACGAGACACCCCCACAAAAAACCTTCTGTTTTTAACTTGTTTAAAGCTATTTGTCCGTCAGAGGTCAGCTGAGGTACCGTCTCTGAGAAGGCATTGGTGGCACATCATTGCCACTACCATCCTGCTGAACATGGTGCTTTCCACTAGTGGTCCTTGAGTGTTCTCAGAGGCTTCCTACTCTTGCCTGAGTTCTACCTTCATATACTGACGCTACCTGGGTTTAAACCCATAAGCAAGGAACACATGAAAAGCTTGAATACAACCTGTATTCAACCTGAGCATCTAGAGTGGAGCAGACACAGAGCTAGCTTCACAGCAGGAGAAGTTACAATAGGAAGATTAAAACACGCCATTTTTAGATACAAGCAGACTCCTTTAGGATTTCAGTGGAAGAGCAGTAAGTACACCATGATAATACCCAAAACTGTAACAATGGGCCATCAAGAAAGGAATGTTCACGCAAGAAACAGGGAGCTCCAGGTCTGTAGAATTCAAGCCAAAATAGTTAAAAGAGCCTTTGTTAATTTGTACATTCAGTGATTACTTGATGGATCGTTACTGTAATGGCTGCTGCTATTCTCCTGGTAGTACATGCTTTGTTAGGGAAGATTCTGTATTTCCTTCTAAGTCCAAGGATGCAAATGATAGCAAACTTATTTAAGTATATCTGTAATTGAGAAGTTGTTTGGAAAACACAGAAAATATAGAACCGTATCATCTGTAGAATTTTTCAGTAGAATTTGCCGAATTAGTCGGATTCTCTGTCCTGTCCCTTCACTAGCTTTTGTGATATGCTCCTAATACTGTCATCATTTCATCCACAGATGCAAGTGTACTGCTTTGATGTGGACCGATTTTCAAGTTTTGAGGAAGCAGTTAAAGGAAAAGGGAGGTTAAGGGCTTTATCCATCTTATTCGAGGTAATTATTATGCATAGGCTTGCAACTAATCTCTTTTTAAATCGTAGGAACTACCAGAGAAAAGTGCTCTAACTCAGTGATTATAAATCATGACATTGTCCAATTGTCCATGTATTTTTTTCGTAGTGTAAAATGTATAGTTTCCTGATTTTTATTTGCTTTTTTTTTTTTTTTTTTTACCTTGCTGTTGGGAAAAAAAAGTGTTTGGGGCATACTACTCTTTATACTCAATTGGGAATTTTTATTGAGCAGTTGGTCAATTGTTGGATCCTGTTTTTATAATGCTGTTCTTCTTTAACAGGTTGGAATTGAAGAAAATTTGGATTACAAAGCCATTATTGATGGAATCGAGAGTGTTAGTCGTTTCGGTAAGCCATTAAGATTGAGATTGGCCTAACAGGACTGCTCCTCCCTTGGGGGGTGGGGAGGTCAAAGAGCCAGCCATTGAGTTCCTGTTAGAAATAGTCCCTGTTCCCTTTATTATGGGAAACCAATTGGTTACTGAGCTACCCAGGCTACATCTGAGCAGAGGTTCTAGGTTATATCCATATATTAGGCCACAGAGGAGGACTTTGCAGTCAGTCCTGAAGATACCTGATAAAACAGGATCAGATGAATGGGGAAGAGGTCCCCCCCCCATCATAGGACTTGGAAAGGGGCAGGGTGGAGATGAGGGAAGGAGGGTGGGAGTGGGAGGGAATGAGGGAGCGGGATACAGCTGGGATACAGAGTTAAAAAAAATGTAACTGATAAGAAAAAAATAAAATTAAAAAAATAAAAAATAAAAAAAAATTGAGATTGGCATACCTGTGAGTATCTGAAGTGTGACAAAGTCTCTTGTGAAAGATGGAAAGGACGGTGTCTTTAAAAATGACGGTATCTCACTTCACATACTTGACTGCTTCAGACATCTCCCACTAAGAAAAGAACCATCGATGCGAGACTTTGGTGCCATAACAGCTTTGAGAACTTGGGCACTGTGACACGTGCCGTAGCCCTAGCACTTGGGAATCAAAGGCAGGTGGATCTCCGTGAGCTCAAGGCTGTCTCACTGTACGTGTCAAGTTCCAGGGCAGCCCGTCAGGGTTACGCGGAGGGGTTCTATCTCAAATAAATACATCAGTAATTGCTTAATTAAAGTTTTAAATTATGTGATACCAATGTAAAAAGAAGTCTGGTAGTCTGTCAATGAATTCTTAATGTGCTATGCTTTTAAAACATTCATCTACTCTGGTTCTGGACTGTACCTCACCTTAAAGACTATATGAAACCAATTAACTTTACAGAATATCAAACTATGAAATGAAAACGGGAAATTTACTAAAATGGACATCTATTCACTGGTGGTTTTCTTGGTAGATGAGTATTTCGAAAAGGTCAGATGCCTGCAAAAAGGTGCATGCTTACATAGAGCAGGATGGAATGTACTTTGTATTACTCTGCCTGATCGATGCCTATGATCTTGCCCTCTGTCACAGCAAATGCCTTTGACAGCTTTGGTCGCAGACTCAAAACCTGTGCTTGCTATTTTACTTTTAGTATAAACAATATTACTCCTCCCCTGGTTATCAACAAAATGTAAATTTTTCCTCTCTGGAAAGCCACCAGATCTGAAGCCACAAACAAGCTTCCACATAGATCCTTTTCTTGAAAGCAAAAGCCCAACTGGGGTTGCTTCATCTTTGTCCACTTACATTTGAGGATCAGAACTGACCGAACTTTTCAGAAGTCAGGAATGTGTGGACTCCTTCAGAGGAGAAGCCTTCTCTACCCCTTCTCCTGTAATCAAAAGCAAGATCCAGCTGACTGTCCCCTCAGTTCCCCTAGAAGCAGAATTCAACACTGAATACCATAAGCCACACTTAATTTTCTCTCAATAAATCAGAACATGGATTCTATCCAACTGAAGGAAGGGAACCAAGCTAAATTTCAACACTTCCTTAAGGGTGTATAAAATCTAAACCTAGTATGTTCCTGTGTTTTGCATCTGCTCATGGGACAGGGGACTCAGACTACTAACTACGCTTGTTTAGTTATAGAACCTTCTCTATTTTCTTTTGGAGTCTAGAACATCCCCTAAAGTACAGTAAACTAAGGAATTCTAATTTGGGCTGCTAAGCTACTACTATAGGGAATTTTAAAAACGGAAAGCAGTTCTTACCCTTAGAAAAGAGACTCTTGGGCTGCACTCAGATTTCCAAACCCTGAGCCACGTTCTACATGTAAGGAGAGTTGTGAGCAACTTAATACCACAAACATCATTCAGAATATAAAATCTCACTTTAACATGGACTGCTTGCTCATCTCCTCCATTTTGCTCTAAAAGACAAACCTCATTTCTCTTTGAGAACCTGTCCTTTCTTATTTTCTTTTCACCATAGCGAGTCTGTTAGACAGTGTTGTATCTGTAGACGGAGGAAAAGGTGGAGACTTTGAAGTGATACAATGACAAAATATTAATATTCTTCAAGCAGAACAGACAGAAAAGAGAAGTATTCGTGAAATCTTTGCAACTGCAAAGGAGGAAAAAATTCATGTAGTGTTACCAGTGATTCTCAAATGAAAGGTCTCATCATGATTATGCTGCTTGCTCAGTCAGGCCCAGGGATCTGTGTCTTTAAAGATCCTCGCAAGAAGCCTTGAGGGCCGCCCCCTGGGCCATTGCTGTAAGAGTTGGTTTTAAGTCCTCAGCAACACTCCCGTGTTATTGGCTGTACTGTGGGCCTCAGATACCTCAGGTCTCTCTCCCTCATCTTTTCTCCTCTCATTGACAATCTCCCCATGGACCTATCTAGCAAGTTGTTTAATTAATCCTCTGTGTTTGAGGGATTGGTGGTTGAGGTGGAGTACTGTTGGCCCAGGTGAGGTCTCTCTTATGAAGTTATTCAGATGAAATTTATGATTATTTTCCAGGTCACAAAATATCACCATAGTCTAGATTTCTCAGTAGATAGCGGCAGAACATAATTGAAAGATCTGTGAAACATCTAGGACAGAATTTTAGGACAAACATGCTGTAACAAACTGTGTGAACATTTAACCCCTCAGCAAGGAAATATGCTTGTTACTGAGGTTCAGAAAAGGAAGAGTAGATTCTGTATTAAGGAAAATAAAATTTCTTTCTTCCTTTTCTTCTTAGCCTTCTTTACCTATAATGTTTGTCCATGTGCCAAGAAAATTCCGTGCTTCACATCTCCACAGAGACCTCGAAACTTTGTCTTCTTTGCCCTGCCTCTAGATCATCTGGCATCCAATTTGTCTTCTCCCGGGTAGCAGGGCATCAATTTCTGCCTCTTTACTTAATTAGCATATATCACAATCACATTTCCATAAGGTACACGTAAAAGAAATTTTATCTTTAGTAAAAAATAAAACAATTGCAGTCAATTTATGATACACACACACACACACACACACACACACACACAAAATCAAGCCTTAAAAATGGGAACCCGAAACTAGAAAATACCCACAGATTAACAAGAAAGTCCTGATAATTTCCTGAGAATTTGAATTGAAATCTGAACTCTGAAAATCATCTGTTTCATTTTTGAGATTACAATTTAATTTAATTTCTCCCTTCTATTTTCTCCCTCTGAACCCTCCCAAATACTCCTCCATGTAAGACATAAAATCCATGGCTTCTTTTCCCACTGTTATTTCATGCATATATGTATATGTGTATTTATATGTATGTGTATGTATATATTTTTTTCTTAAATGCAACCTATTCTGTGCATATAATAGCACCTGTATGTGTGTTTTCAGGCTTGACTGTTTGGTACTGGCCAGCCAGTTGGCATGCTTGTCCCCGGGGAAGCCATCTCTCCTGCTCCCAGCTTTCCTCGGTTACCTATAGTTCTTTGTGTAGAGTTGAAGCCCACTGGGCTTTTCTCAGTCCTCGTTTGGCAGTGAACTCCAACAATCTCATTTTTATATTGGATGCATCACAGATATCACTAGTTCATTAAGCCAAACAAAATGTAAACTTTCTAATGGGTTAAGATCAGATTTTATTTGCTCCAGAGAAAGCGTAATGCAATCAAATGGATTTCTGTTTGTAAGATTTAGCCTTTAGCTCAAACTGTAAGCAATGGGCTCTAATTTTAGTTATTAATAATACCATGAGCAATGTGATCAGGAAGGTGAAAAGTCTTGAAAACACCTCCTTTTCCCTGGTTTTTAACCTTGACTACGTGCATGCATCGTCTGGAGATAGGTTTGAGAATGTTTGTGGACAAGCTCCGCTCCTGGAAGTTCTCTTTCCAATGATGGAAAGTCTGCATTGGTGTTTTGTAAAACTCCTTGGGTTGTTCCAATAAGGTGTCACTTCACATGGACTAAATTAGCTTCAGGAACTACTGTGTAATGAACTAAGTCTCCCGGATAGGACAAAAGACATGCATTGGACTGGGGAGTAAGAAAGATGGGGAAGTACAAATCACTGCCCATATGAGTACGGGCAGAAAGAGCTGGATGGACAAGATAGTGCTCTTGACAAGCGCTGTTGAAAGATACAAAATTAAAATGTACCCATGATTGCATGGGGGTTTTCTCATCTGTATGCAAGTTCATGAACAAGAATACACATACACAAATAAATACAGGATCCACCTGTACATAAATATAAATCTGTGTGTGCATAGTATATTCACAGCACGTTTTCTGTTCTTTAGTGGGCTGTCTTAATAATGATTCTTTTCTTTGAGACAGGGCCTCATGAAGCCCAGAGTGACGTCAAAACCACTGTGCCTCTTAGGATGAGTTTGGACTTCTGATCCTCTTGACTCTACTTTCCCAGTGCTGGGATTATAAGTACACACTGCCACACTGGTTTTATTTGGTGCTTGGGATCAAACCTAGGGTCTCATATGTTCTAGGAAAGCACCCTAACAAGTGAACTACATCCTCACCCCTAAATAGTAACTTTTTAATCTTCTTGATCATAGCATCCCTAAAGTTTGTATCATTACTACTTTCACATGTAATTTTAAAAATTCAGCGGAAATTTTAAGCTACCTACATGAAGATAATTTTCCGTGCTGTCTTCTAAAAGTGAAGACACTTCTAATCCATCTAGAATTGGTTAGTATTTGTAATCCAAAACACAGAATTAGAGGTGAGGGTGTAACACATACTTGCCATGCTTGAAGTACTGTGTCCTTACCACCCAATGAGTGAAATGGAGGGAGAAAGGCATGGATGGATGGATGGATGGATGGATGGATGGATGGATGGATAGATGGATGGATGGGTGGATGGAATAAGTAGTTGAAAGTCACTTGTTTTCTCAAGGCTGATCAATACAGTACTGCTTGTTGAAAAGTCCATTAATTCTACACTGCAACTATTTCAGCTATAAATCAAGTGATCATATATGTGTGGGTCCCTATTCTCCATTTTTTTATATCTATATCTGCAAAGTGTGTTACTCTCATGGTTTCCACAACCACATATGATCAGCAAGACTTCCGAGTTGTCAATGATATTTCTTTAACTTTTTATTGTTCAAGATTATTTGATTTATAAGCTCCGTATTTTATTAAACTTTACAGTCAGCATTCCAGTTAACAGATAGACGTGATAGATAGCGGAGCAAACCTTTAGTCCCAGCTCTGCTCTACATAGTGAGTTTCAGGACAGTCAGAGCTACATAGTGAGACCCTGTTTTAAACACACAAAAAATATCAACAACAAACAAATGCATATACTCAGACAGTACACACACACACACACACATACACACACACCCTTTTGAGACTTTTTTTTAATAAGAGTTCATTGAACTTGTGGGGAAATTAGTCCCTACCACAATATTGAATTTTCAAAACCCAGGATGTGGTCCTTTCTACCTTTTTAAAAAGTGTTCTTTTTTTTTTTTCATTCTCTCTAGAATATATTACAGTATAAATAGTTCATACAGCATTAACAGTTCTATTTGTATTATATATTTGTTGCTACTTTAAACCATGTTTGTTTTGCTATTGATAGCTTCTGAGAAACAGAATCTCAGTTTTCTTCAATGGAGTGACACTGGGCATATCAACCATGCTCCAGGGCAGGGCCCACACTAGGATTAGTTGGCCAACACAAAACAGACTTCAGTTTTATTTGCTTGTTTGTTGTTTTGTGCTTTTTGTTGTTTTGGCTTAGTTTGGGGTTTTGTTTGTTTGTTTTTGAAGAAGGAGAAAGAACATGAAGTTGAAAGTGTAGGTAGGAGGGGAGGAAAAATCTAGGAGTTGGAGGAAGGAGGAAAAGAATATGATCAAAACATATCACATAAAAATTTTAAAGAAAAGGAATAAAGGAAAAATCGTGTTACGAAAAATAATTTTTGTTGATTAAAACTGATGTACAAATACAATTGATTTTTTTGTATTGGCGTTTTGTACAATGACTTTACTAAATTCATGAATTAAACTGAATAGTCTTTTAAAATGTTTCTCAATATACATGTTTAATCCATTTTTATTTTGAAGCACATGAATGTGGTATTGGGTAAAAGTTATATTAAATTTAAATGAAAAAAAGACTCTTTAAATACAGCAAATTGCTCTACATTGTCTATGAACATAATAAATGTTCTTCATCTGCAGATAAGCTTACTTAATTTCCTTTCCTTACAAATTCTTATCAGTGTAATTTTGTTTGTGCCTTTAATTCTTCTTTCTTTTTTCTCTTTAAAGCATTTCTTAAGAGACAAGAGTTTATTCAGAATACAATACATGCTTATTCCCATAATAGTAATGTTTTATTATTTATTCTTTTCACAATACTTGAGGTCTTTGTCTACTACAGCTGAATTTTCCTAACTGTAATTAATAGTATTTTGTTGTGCTTCACCACATACCAAAATTTTAAAAGAATGTAAATGTCCTAATATATGCAAACAGTGGATCAAAGAAAAAAAGGAGCATCCAATGGTATTCATTTTGAAATTACAAAGAATCCAAAATCTCAGGAATGCTGGCTCAAACACACTTTGGCTTTCTTATTTTCCATTTTCCCCAACAACAATCACCTAATTACTTTTCCAAGAGTTTCCTCTGTCTCCTACTTTCTTAAAAAAAAATTTTTTTCAGAGTGACTACTCTACAATTCTTTTTGTAATTGCTGTGGGAGTGATAGCCATTTTGAGCACTGTTTAGAAAGCCTACTTTAAAATTTTTTCTTCAATTTATTTATTTGCTCATTTTACATCCCAATCGCAACTCCACTTTCTCCTCTCCTCCCAGTACCACCCTCCCACCCACTTCCTCCATGCCCCTTTCACACTCTCTCCCCATCTGCCAGGTACCAACACACCCTGGCACCTCAAGTCACATCCGAACTAAGTGCCTCCTCTTTCACCGAGTCAGGACAAGGCAGTCCTGCTAGGCAAATAGGATCCAGAGGGAGGCAACAGAGTCCAAGTCAGAGACAGCCCCTGTTCCAATTGTTAGGGGATCTACTTGAGGATCAAGCAGCCCATCAGCTTCCTATGTGTAGGGTGCCTAGGACTAGTCTATGTATGTTCTTTGGTTGGTGCTTCAGTCCTCTATGAGGCCCCATGGGCCCAGGTTAATTGGTTATGTAGGTCTTTCGTGGTGTCCCTTACCCCTCCAACTCCCTCAATCCTTCCCCCAACTCTTCCACAAGACTCCCTGAGTTCTTTCTAATGTTTGGCTGTGGGTCCCTGCATCTGTTTCCATTATCTGCTGGATGAAGTCTCTCAGTTGACAGTTATGCTAGGTTCCTGTCTGCAAGGAGAACAGAGCATCATGAATAGTCTCAGGAGTTGGCTCTCTCCCATTGGGTGGGTCTCAAGTTGGGCCAGTCATTGGTTGGCCATTCCCTGAATCTCTGTTCCATCTTTTATCTCTGAAAATCTTGAAGGCAGGACAAATTTGGGATGGAGAGTTTTGTGGTATGTTGGTGTCCTCTTCCTCCACTGAAAGTCCTGCCTAGTTACATGATGTGGCCACTTCAGTCTCGGTATCCCCGGCTGCTAGGAGTCGTTGCTAGGGTCACCCCATTCTTCCCCAAAGCCTCTCCTCCCAGGTCTCCAGCTTGCCTCACAGATACCCAACACCAGTTTTTCTTCTCTCTCCCATGCCTGTGACTTCCCATCCCCATTCTCCCCACACCTGATCCCCCAACGTTCCCCTCTTCACCCCCTCTCCCACTCAGTTCCCTCTCTCCCTCCACTTCTAATATCTATGATGTGTATTTTATTTCCCTTTCCTAGTGGGATTAAGCATCCGCCCTTTCTCCCTCCTTGTTTCTTAGTTTCTTTGGGTCTGTGGACTGTAGCATGGTTATCCTGTATTATATGGCTAATATCCACTTATGAGTGAGTACATACCAAGTGTGTCTTTCTGGGTCTCGATTAACTCACTCAGGATGATCTTTTCCAGTCCCATTCATTTGTTTGCAAATTTCATGATTTCCTTGTTTTTAATAGCTGAGTAGTATTCCATTTGTGTAAATGCACCACAATTTCTTTATCCATTCTTTGATTGAGGGACAATTAGGATGTTTTCAGTTTCTGGCTATTACAAGTAAAGCCACTGTAAACATAGCTTAGCAGATGTCCTTATGATTTGGTGAAGCATATTTTTTGTATACGCCCAGGAGTGGTGTAGCTGGGTCTTGAGGTAGAGCCAATTTCCTAAGAGTCAGATTGATTTCCAAAGTGGTTGTACAAGTTTACATTCCCACCAGCAATGGAGGAGGGTTCCCCTTTCTCCACATCCTCTTCAGCATGTGCTGTCATTTGAGTTTTTGATCTTAGCCATTCTGACAGGTCTAAGATGGAATCTCAGAGTCGTTTTGATTTGCATTTCCTCAATGACTAAGGACTTTGCACATTTCTTTAAGTGCTTTTCTGCCATTAGATATTCCTCTGTTGAGAATTCTCTGTTTAACTCTGTACCCCATTTTTAATTGGATTATTTTGTTTGTTGGTGATACTTTCTTGAGTTCTTTATATATTTTGGAGATTAGCCCTTTGTCAGATGTAGAGTTGATGAAGATATTTTCCCAATCTGTAGGCTGCTACTTTGTCCTATTGACAGTGTCCCTTTAATCAAAATAGAATTATATCACTTTACCTTCTCCCTTATATCCACTAGCCCATTCCATGTCCTCTTCATTCTAAAGTTCTTCAATTATTACTATTACACACACACACACACACACATACAACCTGCTGAGTACACTTTTATTGTTTCTGTGTATACGGCTTTCAGGGCTGATCACTTTTTACTGGAAAACTAGCAAGGGAGCTAACCCTGGGAGAGGTAAAGTTTTCATCTCCCAGCAATCATTGGTTGCCTGTGTTGTTTTTTATTATTTTTTTTTTAATTTTCCTTTGTTCACATTAATGTGTCCATTGATATTGTTCTTGCAGCCATTTCTAGGAGCCCGTTTCACAACCAACTTCCTGGTATTCTGGCTCTTAAAATCTTTCTGCCTCCTCTTCTGTGATGTTCCCTGAACCATAGTAGCACAACCATGTGGCTGTTTGCAAATTGTGATGATATCAGTTCCTATAAATCCTGAGAGCTTTTCTCCCCAGTCCTTCCCTTTTTATGTCACCTAGGTACCCCACATAGGCCTTCATCTCATGATCCTCTCCTCTGCTTCCCAGGCTCTGGGATTACGCCATGTGCCAGCTCACCCAGCATTTCATGTTTGATAGCAAACAAAAAAATGATGATATGAGACACCGTCGTCTTGTTCTTGATTTCTAGGGGAAGTTTTCATTAAGTTACCCTTAAACCAATCATTACTGTAGGCTTTTAAAAATAATCTTTGACAGAAGAGGGATTTTTTTTAATATTATGGGCTGGAATGTTTTGTTTTGTTTTGTTTTGTTTTTTTTCAGAAGACATGGCTGATATCTTTTGAAGTAACTGTAGATGTCTTCATCTTTTTATCTGAATTTTTTCAGCACTGTATTGCAAGACATCTAACAACCTATCAAGTATATTTAAGACAATTTGTGGTACTAAATCATTTATTAAAGTAAGAGTGAGCCCTTGTTTCACAGCAGATTTGAATAACTAAGTGCCACTTTTGGGATTCCAGCTGAGATGTGTATTATTACTTCACAGGGAAGCAGGCTGCCTTGGATCCGTTCATCCCGCAGAACCTTCTGCCAAACTCCACTGACAAATATTACATTTACAACGGCTCATTGACATCTCCTCCCTGCACAGACACCGTTGAATGGATCATTTTTAAGGATACAGTTAGCATCTCTGAAAGCCAGGTAATCTCGGAGGTTCACATAATGAAGTAATTTGAAGCTAATGCAGAAGCAATGTTTTGTAGGTTTGCTGCAGAGTATCATTTTGAAGCATTTCCTGAAGCTTTTGAAGCAGACTGTTAAATGGGTTGGTCTTTTTTCCAGCTGGCTGTATTTTGTGAAGTTCTCACAATGCAACAGTCTGGCTATGTCATGTTGATGGATTACTTACAAAACAATTTCCGAGAACAACAGTACAAGTTTTCCAGGCAGGTGTTTTCCTCATATACTGGAAAGGAAGAGATTCATGAAGCAGGTATGTATTGAAATATCATTTTTCTGTGCCCTTCAAAGACTCAGTATAGATAGTTATTTTGGAGTGGTGGAAAACGCGCAAGAATTACAGTTTTTGAAACATTTAAATTAACTTTTGTAGCTTTAGGCGGGCAATGTAGCTTCCCTGAATTGTAGTTTCTATATCTACAAATGAGAATTTGAAAAATCCATTCTTCCAATATGAAAAAAAAATAAGAGCTGAGAAATGGAAGTAAGTTTTCCAAGTCACACAACAATAAGCAACATAGCCACATAAACACTCCAAGTTCATCTTACAGTGTCTGCTGGACTGAAAGCTGTAAGAGAAAAGGGAATGAGAGGCTGAGGTGGTCAGATACTAGGGTGTCATGTCTGGTAAGGGTGATCAAGGGTTTGAGCTAGAGATGAAAACATAAACTGAACCTGAGATGAGGTCATGGTACACACACCTGTGCTGCCAGTTCCAAGGGGAAAAAATCAAGCGTGCAATAGGTATTGACAACATTATACTGAATTACTATTAATAAACAAAAACATTCTCAGTTTCCTTCTTTGGAGGAAAATAACTTTGTCATTGCCAACCAATAGAAAACATGGTGGGTATTTGGGTTCCCTGCATATGTTCTGTGCCTTTTGTGGCTGACACAGGAGTCAAAAACCATGGCAAAGCCGGAGGACACAAACAGAGGTCTCTCCATCTTGTTACTTTCTGTTTGTACCAGACTGTAGTAATCCATGAAGAAATAGTTGAAGTACCCTTTATTGTGAGAAGTTAAGATTTTCCAAACTACATTCTTTGATCTATGCCTTGCACTTTTTTGTCATGAATTTTTGTCATGAATGATATTAATTTAATAATCAATTTCTTTTAAATTAATCTTTAATGTTCATGCTTTTATTGCTTTAATATAATATTTAGAATTGTTTGTTCTCCGACAAAAAAAAAAACATGACAGTGGTTTCAAATAACTATATCTAATATGACAGTAGCATTTAAATTAAAATTGGATTCCTGGCAAAAGTGATTTCGGATAGTCATAACAAATTGTTTAATAGTTTTTTTATAGTGAATAATAGATAGTTGGTTAGAAAAATAAAAATGAACCTAAACCACTTCCTCTTGAAAAATACAGTAGACAAAACAGCCAAATAAAAATATGATTGCTTTTTCCATTAGACTTTAAAATCACATTTAGATCCTCAGTTCTTTAAGGATAAGATTGTAGTCGGTCACTTAATGTAGGACCTGGTTTGTGCTCACGGATACTGATGCCAACCCTTCTTCAGCAAGGCTTCTCTCACCCTAAACTCGAAGCCGTCCTCTGAAGCACGGACACCCATTTCCACAGGGCACACTGAAGGTGTTTTCTCCAAGCAGCACGTTCCTCCGCACGGTCTTCATACTCTTGCCCACTCTTGTTCTCTGAAACTCAAGCAAGACAAGCCCTCTACTCAGAAGACCATCTCTTACAGGACCCTTACCCCCACTGTGTCTGAATCTGTCCCAGGCACGGGAGCACCGTCAGGTGGCACCAGAACCAGGAAGTTCAAGGTAAATCATGCTCATGTGGACTCGGCGCACATGCCCAAGCAGATGCTTCCCAGTAGCAACCAGACTACTGCAGGGCCGGTGCGCACGGCTCTCACACGGCCTCCAAACCTGTGCTGACAGTGGCTGCACACTTCATCTCTTTGCATTTATTCTGAGCTAAACAGAAGCTTCAATTCACTGAATAGTCACCGCGCGTCTGAAGGACTCGACTTCCATGGAATAAAAACGTGATGCTGATGTATAGACACGCTCTGAGCTGTGCCGTGTGCAGCCCATGTGCGGCTCCGAGTTAGCGTAGGGCAGCATAGTTTCCAAAATTAAGTTTCAGGCTTAACTTGTTAATTATAACAATAGGCTACACAACAGAGGCTACCAACTGTTGTGTAACACCACCTTGCCTTGAACCAAAGAGTGTTGGCCTTAAGCCTCCCCTCAACCAGTTTGTGATTCTGGCCAAAACCATTTTCATGGCTTGGGAAGCTGACACTGAGTGATTTGCCCCAGTTTACATAGCTAGACAGGGGTGAAGTGAGTATTTGAACTCAGGCGTCTCTGACTTTAAAGCCTTCCAAAGCAATTTCTACTTTGCATAACACTTTGAAAGAAATATAATTTCGTTATAAAAATCAGTGACCTTAATAACACGAACCTTTAAGAAGTATTGATCTTTTAGGGTCTCGTTTACTCTAAGGTCCATCAGAGACAGTACAGTCTCCACACTGCTTGCTCTTCACAGGTGGCACGTGTGGGCCTCAGTCTTACTCCTGTCAGCTGCGTGTGCATTGTCTCACTATGCCACGGCTCTGTGGCAGCATTGCTATCACGGCCAGAGTAAGAATTATCACACATTTGTGATTTTGTTCCGAAATAATGAACTAACGAGGAAAGGGAGGCTGTTGGAAATAGACTCATTCATACAAATTGGAGGGATGCAAATTTTAAACAATGAACTCTACAATACAAAAGAAAGGTACATCCACAGCCTCTTTCGGCAGTACACTTGTTCATAGGTACGCTTCTCCCAGCATCCCTCGGGGACAGGCCACTTATCAGCTGCACACATCTTAGACAGTTACTCGGCGGGGGTTAGAGCGTAATAATGTCCTCAGCTTAAGCTAAGGTGGTTGGGAGCCAGTACTAGCTTTTACTATAGTTTGTGTCTTTGAGATCTGAGATGTGGTCCTCTGGTCATTTGACCTTCCCCTTGTCCTGTCTCCCTGGTGGGGTCTCAGCTCCTTCCTTCATCCTACTGTAGTTCTCGGGTTCTTCACGGTGGAAGAATTACCTTGGATCAAGTACAGAAGATCATCCTACCCTCTCCCATACCCACCTCCTCAGCTTTACCTGCTCTGAGGGCTCCTGTTTGCCAAGATGCCAGAGGAGATAATGAACACCTTTTTACATTTTTCCTTTCTTTTTCATTTTCTTTTCTTTCTTTCTTTTTTAAATAAAATGTATTTACAATTTATAATTCCATAATTTATATTTTTTAAATTATTTTTTCGCTTTTAAAAAATTTATTCATACTTTTTATAAATTACAGTTTATTCACTTTGTATCTCTGCTGTAGCCCATCCCTCATCCCCTCCCAATCCCACCCTCCTTCCCTCATCTCCTCCCATGCCCCTCCCCAAGTCCATTGATAAGGGAGGTCCTCCTCCCCTTCCCTCTGATCCTAGTCTATCAGATCTCATCAGGAGTGGCTGTATTGTCCTCCCATGTGGCCTGGCAAGGCTGCTCCCCCATCAGGGGGAGGTGATCAAAGAGCCAGCCACTGAGTTCATGTCAGAGACAGTCCCTGTTCCCATTGCTAGGGTACCTACTTGGATTTTGAGCTGTCATGGGCTACATCTGTGCAAGGGTTCTAGGTTATCTCCATGCATGGTCCTTGGTTGGAGTATGAGTCTCAGAAAAGACTCTTGTGCCCTGATTTTTTTGGTTCTGTGGCTCTCCTTCTGGAGCTCCTGTCCCTTCCAGGTCTTTCTATCTCCCCCTTCTTTCATAAGATTCCCTGCATGCTGCCCAAAGTTTGGCTATGAGTCTCAGCATCTGCTTTGATACACTGCTGGTAGAGGCCCTCTTTGGTAGGCTAATTTTCTGTTTCCTGTTTTCTCCCTCTTCCGATGTCCATCCCATTTGCCTTTCTTAATGAGGATTCATCCTCTTACCCAGGTCTTCCTTCTTGCTTAGCTTCTTTAGGTGTACAGATTTTAGTATATTTATCCTATATTATATGTCTAATATCCACTCATAAGTGAGTATGTACCATGTACAACAACAGATCATCTGGAGATACCTCCATACCTGATCTCAAGCTATACTACAGAGCAATAGTAGTAAAATCTTCATGGTACTGACATAGAAAAAGAAAGGTGGATCAATGGAATCGAATAGAAGACCCAGAAATAAATCCACACATCTACGGATACTTGATTTTTTACAAAGAAGCCAAAACCATACAATGGAAAAAAGACAGTATTTTCAACAAATGGTGCTGGTTTAACTAGATGTCTACATGTAGAAAACTGCAAATAGATCCATATTTATCACCCTGCACAAAACTAAAGTCTAAGTGGATCAAAGACCTCAACATAAAGCTGGACACACTGAACCTCTTAGAAGAAAAAGTGGGGAAGAGCCTTGAACTCATTGTCACAGGAGACAACTTCCTGAACAGAACACCAACAGCACAGGCTCTAAGAGCAACGATCAATAAATGGGACCTCATGAAACTGAAAAGCTTCTGTAAAGCATAGGACACTGTCATCAGAAAAAAACAACAGCCTACAGATTGGGAAAGGATCTTCACCAACCCTTTATCTGACAGAGGACTCATATCCGGTATATATAAAGAACTAAAGAAGTTAAACAGCAAAAAGTCAAGTAACCCAATTTAAAAATGGTGTATAGATGTTTTATAATTTATATTTATAATTTCTTTATAAGTTTAAAGCTTTAGTTCATATCTAAAAATGTGATCTGATAAAAATGTGATCTGAGGTGGCAGTGGCATCAGCCTATTAGCAAATTCCATTTCTGTCGGTTCTGTCCTCTCATTTACGCAGCTAATATTCAGTTGAACGTTGTTTAGCTCTAACACGAGACATTATCGAAAATTCACTTCCTTACTCCACATTTCTCTTTTCCATCCCTGGAAGTGGCCCTTTCTGCTGAGTCGTCCTGGTCCTCTACCTGAAGTCAGGCTGTTTTCCATTGCTTCTCAGCCATTTATGAACCTGCCTCACTTTCTTGGTAGATTTCCTCCTTACGCATCTCACTGTCACTTGTAGCATGGAATGAAGGACAGCCCCTGTCCTGTAGGTACAGCCTTCTCAGTTTTTGATAAGTGAGAAACCAAAGAGTGAATTAAAGAATAGGTTAAGGGTCTCTTGCCCCTTCGCCTTTGGGGCTACAAAGATCAAGTTGTTCTTGGCAACAGGCACAGAAGG